TAATCATAATTTGCTATTTGCAAAAAGTCTATCCGTTTGGGATAGTCATAATAATAGTTATGACATATATTATGCTTATAATGATGATAGTTGGACTTATAACATGAATTGTTGCATTTGGAATTATCTTCGTTCTCAAATCTGGGAGGATATTGACAAATCCATTAATTGTTGCATTTGGAATTATCTTCGTTCTCAAATCTGGGAGGATATTGACAAATCCAATGCCAGTTACCGTGATATGGACTTTAAGAGTTACATTTGCGATAGGGGCCAAAATACTAGTGAAAGCCATAGTACAAATATAATAATATTAAGGAACACAAATGCTAGAAATCAGACAGCAGATCCAGATGATGCAGATATATCTGATGGATCAGATATATCAGATCCATTGGAGATAGATCTATCTGATCCATCCGATACAGATTATCGATACGATCCATTTGCTGATACATCAGATATATCAGATCCATTGGAGATAGATCTATCTGATCCATCAGATACAGATTATCCATATTATATAGATGGATCTGATATATCAGATCCATTGGAGATGGATCTATCTGATCCATCAGATACAGATTATCCATATTATATAGATGGATCTGATCTATCAGATACAGAGGAGGATCTATATGGTATATACGATCTAGATGAGATCTATTATCTGGATGGATCAGATAGATCAGATCCATTGGAGACATTGGAGACATTGGAGACATCAGATCCAGATTATATAAATGATCCGGATGGATCAGATAGATCAGATCCATTGGAGACATTGGAGACATCAGATCTAGATGAGATCTATTATCCGGATGGATCAGATAGATCAGATCCATTGGAGACATTGGAGACATCAGATCCAGATTATATAAATGATCCGGATGGATCAGATAGATCAGATCCATTGGAGATATCTGATACATCAGATACAGATATATGTCAGAAGGATAGTGATGATAATAGCAAAATGGATATGCTGGCTAAAATGAACCAATATAGTCATTTATGGGTTCTATGCGAAACTTGCTCTAGCTTAAATTTTAAACAATTTTTAGTAGCCAAACTGAGTATTTGCGAATACTGTGGTGAGCATCTGAAAATGAGAAGTTCAGATAGAATCGAACTTTTGATTGATCCAGGTACTTGGAATCCTATGGATGAAGACATGGTTTCTCTGGATCCCATTAAATTTGATTCGATTGAAAAAATTCCAATTCTTCAATGGGATCCCATTGCATTCGACTTGATTTTCGTGGATCCTCCCGAGGAAGAGGAAGAAGATCAACCTTATATCGATCGTCTTGATTCTTATCAAGAAAAGACAGGATTACCAGAAGCGGTTCAAACAGGCATAGGTCAACTAAATGGTATTCCTTTAGCAATAGCTGTTATGGATTCTGAGTTTATCGCGGGTAGTATGGGATCCGTAGTGGGTGAGAAAATAACTCGGTTGATCGAATATGCTACCAATCAACTTTTACCTCTAATTATAGTCTGTGCTTCCGGAGGAGCGCGTATGCAAGAAGGAAGTTTGAGCTTAATGCAAATGGCTAAAATTTCTTCTGCGTTATATAATTATCAAATAAATAAAAAGTTATTCTATGTAGCGATACTTACATCTCCGACTACTGGTGGGGTAACCGCTAGTTTTGCGATGTTGGGGGATATCGTTATTGCGGAACCAAACGCAACCATTGCATTTGCGGGTAAAAGAGTGATTGAACAATTGTTGAATGTGGAAGTGCCTGAAGGTTCCCAATCGGCGGACCTTTTATTCGACAAGGGAGTATTGGATTCAGTCGTACCACGTCATTTTTTAAAGCAGTTTTTAACGGAGTTATTTCAGTTCCATGGTTTCGTTCCTTTGACTAAAAATTTGGAAGATTGAATAAAAACAATTTTAAACTTAGTTTTACGTTATTTTGCACTAAGAATCTATTTTTTATTTCCGCCTTTTTGTAACTAGTTTGTAGCTAATACCTTATTTTACACTATTTTATTTAAACTAATTTAGACTAAGAATATATTTTTTATTTCTCCTATTTTGTAACTCTGATATATAGACTATGGATCTAAAAGACTTGAAAAGATTTTTGAAAAACCTGTGGATCTGGAAAAAAAGACACTGTAAAAGATTTTTGAAAAACCTGTGGATCTGGAAAAAAAGACACTGTATTATTATTACAGTGACACATATTTTCCTGCATGGAACTTACCTTTTAAGTATATTAAAAGTAATAGTTCTTCTCCTAGAAAGAAGCCGCCCGTATCCGCCACACATCCTGGTGGATTTATTTATTTTATGTTTTGCGGCGTTTCTTTTTAGGAATATCTTTTTCGTTTTGTTTTTTTATTTCCTTAGAACAATTTTGGATTATTTACTTCAAATGATCCGTGAATTCATTAAGGACGAGACAAACAAAAAAGTTTTATGTTCCTATGTGTCAGAAACTACTTGGATGGACACTATCCCGGGTTTCCAACACGTTTTTTTTCGAATTTTAAGTCATGTCAGTTTTTTCGTGGGATTCTTTTCTCTCTATCGTTTCTATAGCAATCTTACTCGGATGAACATTTTCGATGCACCGATTAAATGGCTCTTTGTGCTACCAAATAAGATTGTTTCTCTGCTTATCACTGCAATTGTCAGTATCCTAAGCGGTATCATGTTTCAATATATTAATTATTGGACTGTAATTGGCGGAACTAATATCTTTAGGTTTACAAAGTCTGCGTTGAATCCCTTACACACCAATGGATGTAAACAAATAGCACGTCCTTCTACTAAAATGGGTTGAAATGCCTGTATGCCCAATCTATGCAAAGTAGGCGCTCTATTCAGCAATACTGGATGTCCCCGCATAACTTCGTGAAGTATTTCCCATACAATTGGTTCTTTTTCCCGGATTTGACTCTTAGCAACTCCTATGTTCGAAGCAATATGGTTTCGAATTAAACCACGAATTAGAAATGTCTGAAATAGCTCTATTGCTATTTCGGGGGGCAATCCACATCGATGTAATGAAAGTAATGGACCTACGACAATAACAGAACGCCCCGAATAATCAACTCGTTTTCCAAGAAGAGTCTCTCGAAATCTTCCCTCTTTGCCCGAAATTATATCGGAAAACGATTTGTAAACTTTCTTATGACCGTCCCTCATCGGTTGTCCGCGGATTCCATTATCAAGAAGTGCATCCACGGCTTCTTGTACCAATTTTTCTTGAGACATTACTAATTCCGCTGGTGTAAATCCACTTGTTCTTAATAGCTCAATAAGAGTATTGTTCCGAAAGATAACTATTTTATAGAGTTTATTAATATCCGAACTCATTAGTTTACCGCCATCTATTTGAATAATTGGTCTCAATTCGGGAGGAAGAACTGGTAAGAGACATAAAACCATCCATTCTGGTTCTATATTTGTTAGGAGAAAATGCTTAGCTAATCCCATGCGTCGAACCAAAAAATTCTTTCTTCTTCGAACTTTTTGATTTTTCCATTTGTCATTGGACCCCTCTTTTCCTAATTCTTTCCATTCTAGCAACGAAGAATCCATAATAATTCTTAAATCCAGATCAACTAATTGTTGTCGTATAGCACCCGCTCCACTAGAAATTTCTCTATTTCGAAATGTATCGAAACCTTGAGTATCAAAAAAGAGTGGGATACTGTCTTTCCAGGATTGGATTTCATATTCGAATGAACCTCGTAATCGTAAGAAAGTTGGTTTTTTAACTACGGGCCTAGCAAAAGAAAAATTTGGATAGGATCCAATAAGATGGATCGCCCCCTTTAAAATCGGACATGAGGGTTTCCTCTCATCCGGCTAAAGTATTTGCACACAATTAAAGATAAAGAAAGGGGTTTCCGCTTTCCAATTTTGGAAAACCTCTAATCTAAAATCAAAAAGGTTTACTCTTTACTCAAGTTATCAATAAAGACCAAGCAACATTTCATTGATACATTCTTCTTTTTTTTCTGAATTTTTTATCCAATTCGAAATTAAGACAGAAATAAAATGTAAAATTCTTGAGTAGTCTACCTCCCTTCGAACGAGGAATCCTCTAAAATGAAATTCTTAATAAAAAAGGAATATCCTCGAATTCATAAGAGATTTCTTTGTCTATGTATCATACCGTTCGATCTTTTAGGTCAAGACGTCACCTCGACGGGTCTGCCACGATGTCTTAAAGCCTATATGCGATAGATAAACTTCTGCAATCATGATATATTTTATTCTTTGAACATAATTTGAGTTCTTTAAAAAAAAAAAGAGATGGAATAATGAATTCCACAAAAAAGTATTTTTTTTTTTTCACAAGGTACATACAGTAAATAGTTATTTGTTACTGAATTGACCATAGACCAATTCCCTTTTTGATTGGGGAGTATTCAATACACCCATGAATTCTGAGCTTCATGTTACTCATCCCAAGAGACATGCCAGATATAGGACATTCCCATTTAATTGACTGGAATGACAGTTTATCATTCGAAATCTGTACAATAAGAATTTTTATCAAATCACACATCGCGGTATACTAGATTCTCTAATTCTTTAAGAGGTTTATCTAAAAGGCTCGCGATATAACTAGGAAGACGTTTCAAATACCACACATGGGTTACAGGACATGCTAATTGGATATACCCCATTTGATATCTACGTATCCGAGAATCAACAAATTCTACTCCGCATTTTTCACAAAATTTTGGTTGGTCTTTTTTATCTCCGATTACTCGATAATTTCCACAAGCACAAATTCCACTTTTTATAGGCCCAAAAATTCTTTCACAAAATAATCCACCTTTTTCAGGCTTATTGGTTTTATAATGAAGAGTATAGGGTTTTGTTACCTCCCCAACTATTTCTCCATTGGGTAGGATTTTTTTTGCCCAAGCACTTATTTGTTCAGGAGAAACTGATCCAATTCGAAGGTGTTGATGTTTATACTGATCAATCATAAAATAAAAATTCCGATTCAGTCCAA